GTTCCTTTCTAATATATACAAAATTGTGCTATTTACCAAATTCTCAATATGTGCTGACTGCTTAGGAGATAGGAAACAGTAACATATCTTTTTTTAAAAATTATTAACATATAATGTATTATTTGTTTCAGGGGTACAGGTCTGTGATTCATCAGTCTTACACATTTCACAGCGCTCACCACAACACATACCCTCCCCCAAGGTCCAACACGTAGCCACCCTATCCCTCTACCCCCCTCCCCTCCAGCAACCCTCAGTTTGTATTCTGATATTAAGAGTCTCTTATGGTTTGTCTCTCTCTCTGGTTTCATCTTGGGAAACAGTAACATATCTTAGTGGCATAGAAGAATGAGTCCAGGATCTTTCTTAAAGTGATTTTGTTTATTTTAATCAGAGCATTCTCTGGTCAGTTAGTATGGAACATGTTATTATAAATAAGTATTTCAATGATTTTTTAGATGATGAAGTTTAAAAACAATGACTTTGCCAGAAGAGGTATTTTTATTTGAATTTGGTTTGTAAAATTTTTCACCTATTTGGCCTTTGCTACATGGCAGAAACTCAGATTCCATTTTGGACTGTTGCTTGGTCTAATCAAATGCTTCTTCTAATCTGAGCCAAATGCAATATACCAAAGGACTGCTAGTTCTTCCAGAAATGAAAGGATACCAGCATTGTGGCACCAGTATTATGAGTTCATTACTGAATATGTGTAAAAGAAAATTTTTGAGGTGATTAGCCCAAACACAAATGGATCAAATGAGCAGACCATTTGAAATTGTAGTGTTAAAGGCAAGTCACTCTACTTCTCGCGGAAGGTTGGAAAGGATTGATGGTGACCTAAAATTCCCTCGGTCAGGCTTACTGGAAGATGAGACAAGGAAGGGAGCCTTTAGAAGGCCTCAGTCAATATGCATTTAAGAGCAGCTGCCTCCCACTGATTCTGTGAGGGGAGCCAAGCAAAAGGTGACCCAGAAACGGAGGTGATGCAGAACTAGCGACTGACGATGCAGTACAAGGAGCAAGTAAGCCCTCAGAGAGCATCCTGAAGGAACCAGAGTTGCCTGAGCAAATCTAGCAAGGCTGGGACATTGGAAACAACTTGTACTTATTTCATCTACTAGTCCAGGGTCAGACCAGAAGCTCCAGTTTGATCACCCACTAGGTAATAATGGGGAGAAGTGCCTCCGCTCCTAGCATGTTAGGTTCCAAATACATCAAACTATGTTCATTGGCTCCCAAGACTATTACTTTCTGGCATTCCATTCCAGGCAGTTTGCAAATGCTCTGCCCTCACCACAAGCATAGCCATTCCCTCTGCCCTTAATTTTATTATTAGAACAGGTACCGTCACATTTATTGTTATATATTCTATCAATGGCCTAATGCAAGTACAGAACAGGCCACATCAGATAGGAGGCTTTTGGCTCCAGGTAGTTTCTGAGCTCAGCTCAAACTGGCCCATTAATAAATGAGAACCTTTATTATCTCACATACTAAGAGGTCCAGAGGTTGTGAGAGCCTCACTCTTAGTATTGCAATGATTCTCTGGGCTGTGCTTTTTTCTAAACATCACATACATTCTCAAGCTGATGGGATGGTTCCTGCTTCATATCCAGGCAAGAAAACATCAGGGAAATGAAGGACCTCTCTTCTAGTGCTCTCTTTTAGGAATGAGGAAACCCCTCATGAAACCTCCATGCAGATTCTATGTCTCTATTACCATAATTGGGATATGTTCCCATTCATCAACTAGCTATTCACAAGGATGATGGGACTATGCTGAATGGCTTAGGCAGTTCAGGATCCACTCCCTGGAACTGGGGATAGGGTCACCTACCTGAGGAAAAAGGAGACATATATACCAAAACCTAAATCCAGATTCTGCTGGATAGGTAAAAAGAGAAAATAGATATTGAATGGACAACCAATAATATCCAGTACATAAACCTCAACAAAATTACTGATGGAATAAATGAACAAACAACAAAGATGGGTTCATTTTACTACTTCGTGCCTTCATTTTTCCCAAATAGAGGGTAGTTTTAAGATATTCACTAGTTTAAGAACAATGCTGATCACAAATTCAGACCATTGTTAAAGTGTTGCAATTCTAAATATTTACATTCTTATGTCAATGTTAATGTTTTTCACCATATTTCTCCACACCATTTCTATGCTGGTATAATGACTTCTTAGTGGTGATCCTAGTGCTGCCTCGATTTTAAAGAAAAGTAATAATCAAATTTTTACATATGAATTTTGGTGAAGTACTATCATAGCTAACATGCTCACCAGAGTTTGGGATTCTGAATAAGACTTTAATTTTTCTTTTTTTTAAGATTCTATTTATTTCTTTGAGAGAGAGAGACAGATAGTGACAGACATAGCGAGAGAGAGCACAAGTGGGGAGGAGAGGGAGAAGCAGGCTCCCCACTGAGCAGGGAGCCCGATGCAGGGCTTGATCTCAGGACCCTGGGATCGTGACCTGAGCCGAAGGCAGACGCTTAACTGACTGAGCCACGCAGGCGCCCTGAGACTTTAATTTTTCATGGAGTGTGAGTACTCAGGCAGCTTAGCAACCAGTCAGTTACTGACCAATAGGAAAACTCACAGGAGCTTTTTCACTTACCCAAGTAACACTTAAAACTTATTTTGGATAGCTTATCCTTTCAGCGTTCCATGAACTAAATAAGTCTGTTATTGTAAAGAACAAAGTTAAGTGATGATGATTTTGGAAATAATATAGTTTGTTGAACTGAAAGAGCCAAGCACAAGAAGAGAATTCAGCCTCTTGCTGCATTCCTTCCCCACCCACTGCCCTTCAGAAACAGAAGAAAGTGAAATAGTTGGCAGCGTATACAATCCCTTCCTATGTACATAATGTATCTGTGAGTCAATTGTATGAAAATTCAATGGCTGGAGATGGGATGGTATTTACTACCAAAAGCCAAAAAGTATTTTTAAAAATCCTAATTATATCTCCCCCATGTTCTTTCCTTAAGAACTGAACCCTCACAAGAGGCACACATGGAAAACAAAGATTAGTCATTTGTGCCATGCTTTTGATGATTTCCATCTTTTTCTAATCAGAGGTCACACACTGTGACCCAGGATAATTTCTGGCAGGGTGTTTAAAAGAGTTTTAAACTTCTGTGCCCTTAAGTGGTGCGTGCACTTTCCATTTCAGTTGCTAGTCGCCTGGGTCTTGAAGGTAATTGCATTTGTTTTCCTAGAAATGATTTCAAGCTTATGAGACTTATGCTTACACTTAATATGAAAAGCACTTTCATTTTCCATTTCCCACTTAGTCGGTTAAAAAAAAAAGAATACTGAAAATGCCATGTAATATTGCAATGCTTTTATAAACATGGCTGCTTAGGGATTCAGGGCTGTGAGTCTGGGCTACTGTTGACAAGCAGACTACTGCTGAAAAGTGAAATTATTTCTTTCTAATCAACTAGTGTTGGAAAGTCTAAATTCAAAATGTTCAGACTGGATCATCAATTTATAATGAACAAAAATACAAGCTGTTGGAATGTCAAATTTTTGAAAGTTGAGAATAACTAATTGACTAGTTAACTCTAATGATTGTTTGGGTTTGCATTTTAGTTCAGCCCTGTTCTTTGCCTTGGAGGGAACTTGGAGCCCCAGTCAGACACCCACTATAAGGGAGGCAGTGGGAGGGCATCGCCTCCTGTACCTTAGCCTCTAAGAGAAGCTTTAAAGGCCATACTCAGTGACCTTGACGAGAGCTCCCTGCAGTTGGGGACATGTTGGCTTAGTGTCTGGCAGTTCCTGAGAAAACTAGATCAGCTTGGGTAGCAGCTGGAAGGTAACCACCCCCCTTGGCTTCTGACTGCAGGACAAAGGTGTGTGAGTGCTGGAAAGTGCATGCCAGGCCATGGAAGGCATATTGATCTGGGGTACTTTACAAGGAATCCCACCCAAGAGAGTAGTCTGCCACAGCCCGGGGACTGTCAGTTGTAGGTACCACTGGCATAAAAGGGGAGGGGACGTCAGGAGTGGCCAGCGAAGAGGAATTAGAGTTGAAGAAACCTACTTCTGAATAATCCACTGAGAGAAAAGAAGTTGACTTTGAAGATCTGTTAGTACCAGATGGTACAGATCAGATTAAGAACTTTGTTTCTCTCCAGCCCTCCCTCCACACCTCCTCATTCCATATCAACCCTGGGTAAGGCTGGGGAGAGGGAAAGGAGAGGAAAACAACCAGGTACACCTTCCTAGCTAATGACAAAGGCACCTGCAGTCAACCCCAGCTGGATAAGCAAGGGGATGTAGGGAGATGTCTCATTTACAAATGAAGATTGAAAGTGAGTTAATATACTCTCCTAAACATTCTCATTGCCTTTTTTAAAGACTTTTTATTTATTTATTTATTTATTTATTTATTTATTTATTTATTTATTTATTTATTTTAGACTTTTATTATTTATTTTAGCGCTCATGCTAGCTAGCAAGTGGGGGGAGGGGCAGAGAGAGACTCTTCAAGCCGACTCCCCGCTGAGCATGAAGCCCTACTCAGGGCTCAATCTCATGATCCATGAGATCCTGACTGGATCTGAAACCAAGAGTCTGACGCTTAGCCAACTGAGCTACCCAGGCACCCTGACAGTCTCATTTCTGAACTGGAACCATGACTAGGACCCCAGTGGACTATAAGATTTTGAATTACATAAGAGAGATGAGAAAAGTCACTAAGACTGTTGAAGTTTTCTTCCAGGAGTCCAGGAAGAAATAACCTCCACTGGGCAGTTTTGACAGGACAGGAGAGATGAAAGTAAAGTTGCAATCTGATACCATCTCACAAATTGTGCTAGTCAATATAGTAGTATATGTATGTGTGTGTGTGTCTAAAGTTTCTTACCTAAAGTTGGGAGTATAAAATATTAATACTTTTGAGATTAATTCCATCATAAACATGAGAATAAGATAGTGATTTAGTTACAGAGCTATTTAAAGATAAAATATAACACTACCTTGTTGTGCTGTAGCCATAAGTATTTTAATTTTTTAAACCTAGATAGATCAATGACCTCTGTCAGATCCCTGGAAAGGAAAGAAAAAGTAAACATTAGCAACAATTAATTTATTCATGGGTAAGGTAGGTTATATAGTAGGACTTTGGAATAACTGGAAATGCCTCTCTTTGTTCTTTCAAAATTGTTGGCACATCTACCTACTCATTTCTGAAATACCATCATTAAAACTTCATTCATTTGGATTAAGATTTTTGTCAACCAGTTTAAAGGAAATACTGAAGGAAACACTTTATCACATTACTAGAAATTTACACCTCATTATGATTACTTTTATTGGGACCTTAATTTGAAAAAAGAAAAGATTTTACTGGGGTCAGGGCAGAGGGGGAAAAGTGTGGAAGACATTGGATTTGCGCCTAAATGTTGAAACACTGTTGGCTCCTACTTGGACAACATCTGCAAGGTTGTTACTTTGGGCTTGTCCAGATCTTGGCCACGTTGTATTTAAGATGTGTAAATGACAGTGTGCCAGGAGACAGAGACCAGGTGAAGTGTTTTATTCTTCCCTTGTTGTTTATTAAATATGGAGTCAAAATATTACCATCCTTCTTGAACTGTGCAGGTGATCCTGAATCTTGTCACTGATGCTGCTTTCTCAGCAAAGGGACAGGCATGGGGTGGGGAGGGGGAGTGATCAGCAAATCGGGCAAAGCCCTGAGGATAGTTGGTCCTTGATTGCTGTGGGCTCGAATATTCAGATCTCTTTTATTTCTCAGGGCAGAAACTGTGTCCGGGTCAGGTATGTATATGTATATGTCTCTATGCATCAAACACTTATAGAGCACACCCTCTGTGCCAGGCAGTTTTCCAAGCCTTTCACTGATACTAAGGTTCATCAGTGTTACATATATTAACTCATTTGTGGCAACATCCTTTCACAAGTTTGTTTTTTTCTTAACTTTGGGATACTGAGGAGCTGATATTTTTTTGAAATACTTTATTTTTTTTTAAAGATTTTATTTATTTATTTGACGAGAGAGAGAGAGAGACAGCGAGAGAGGGAACACAAGGAGAGGGAGAAGCAGGCTTCCCGCAGAGCAGCTGGGATCATGACCTGAGCTGAAGGCAGATGCTTAACGACTGAGCCACCCAGGCACCTTTAATGAAAATTTTATGAAATTTTTAAGGAAAATATTTTAGGAAAACATACTTTTTAAATCATGCAAACAATATTTCTAAATGAAAGAAACCCCGTTCAACAACGTTTTTATATTGAAAGATATCAAAACTAAGAAAAGTTGAAGGAATAATACAATGAAAGTTTGTGTAGCCCTCATAATGTTTAATATTTTGCCACACTTAAGGTCACTCTCTCTTATCTATGTAACGTATGTACTTATTGGTTGATAATTTTCTTGCTGAATCATTTGAAAATAAATTGCAGACTTATCATCGTTAGGGCTCTCACTCCTAGATACTTCAGCAAGCATATCCCTCAAACAGGGACATCCTCCTGCGTAGCCACAATACCGTTATCACACCTAAAAATTAAATTGAATTCAAAAATATCATCTAACATTCTTTTCCGTATTCAAGTTGTCCCTGTTGTCCCCTATGTTGTTGTTTTTTTTTTAATAGTTTGTGTTTTTTTAATCCGGAATCCCATTGACATTCATGCATTGCATTTCAGTTGATATAATCCCTTAGTCTCCTTAAATTTAGAATACTCTCCTTTTATTACCTTGACATTGACTTTTTGAAGAGTCCAGGACAGTTGTCTGATAGAATGTCTTAGGTTCCCGGTTTGTCTGCTTGCTTCCTCATGATTAACTTCAAGGTGGACCATTTTTCAGGAACAAAGGTGGTGATCACTGCATCACAGGAGGAGGCAAGTAATATCACTTTGTCCCACCCTCTTGGTGAAGGAAGTTCAGCCCCTTGGTTTGGGCTGCATCTGCCAAGTCTCTTCATTGTAAGGGTACAAATGCTGTCACTGAGAAGTAATACGTGGGGCAACCTCCGATGACCATGTGCATGTCTCATGCCCCAACCACTTATTCAATGGCTTTCGCTTCAGCTGATGGTCCTTGCTCAGTCAGAAGATTTGGGATTATACAATGCTGATTTGTCCCATGCTCTCATTCTTTTTACACTTATTAGCTGTTATTCTGTTAAATAGGTGATGGGTATTAAGGAAGGCACTTGTAATGAGCCCCGGGTGTTTTATGTAAGTGAGGAATCCCTAAATTCTGCACCTGAAACTAATATTACACTGTATGTTAACTACCTGCGATTTCAATAAAAACTTGGAAAGAACATCCAGCCCTCCCCTTCCTCTTTCAGTCTTTCTCTTTCCCACCCTACTTGTATTTGAAGTTTTTTCTTAATCCTTTTCCATTTTTTTTTAATTCTCAAATTATCCCAAACAAAAGACTTCAAGCAGACTACACGTCCTTTAGACATATGCTGTTAGTCTTTGAGCGCTCCTCTGGCACACCGAAATATTCCAGACTCTTCCAAAGCAACTTCTAATAGGAGACTTATACACATAATGCATGCTCCTCTCTCACTGTAGATATGTAGCCTATTTCTGGGAAGAAGCATTTAGATCCTGGTACACCTAAATTATTGCATTGGGCAAAAAAGATAATACGTTGGCTTCATCCGTTCCCGTGAAAAATAAAACAATCATTATGTGGTAGCAGAGAAACTCAAGCCCCACTTAGAGTATTTCCCCAAGGATTTCCCAGAAAAGATATTTTAATACATTAATACTTTGAAATATCACCTGTGTCAAATTAATGTCATTAATTTTCCTGTACTAGTGAGATTGATGCTGAATTTCCAACTATTTACATAATGTAATAAAGTGATTCCCTTTTAAAGGGATTTTAACTCAGGTCAGAAGGGTTAGTTCTGCACATAAACCTGTTCGAAATCAATAATGGGCTGTTGCATTTCAAGGTGACACTGATGGAAGACAAAGAGGAAATTCTACTAATGATGGCAATGACTCGTGCTGACAATAGTATGTCCGCACCGTTGTATATGTTCTCCATGATTACTCAAGGAGATGTTTGACAAGATCTCTCCCTCCACACACACACACATACACACACCCAGGGCAACAGAGACTCAGGTAAATAACCTAGTTTACCCAGTGTATTGGTGTCTGGACTGAGAAACATTTTTTTTTTTTTTTTTGTACCCGGATGGATTAAATGGTAACTTAGTATTCTTGGGATATAAAATGTATTGTCTTTCACTGGAGAAGACCATTAATTTCCCACCATCAGAGGATCAATATTTCTAATTTTTTCTAGTGTTTTAAAGCTTTTCTTATTGTTTTCTACTTACCCTTGCAGTGTACTGTTGTTAAAATCATGAAAGGCTTAGAGTTGCAATCTTTTGACCACATAAAATATGTATTGTTATTCTAAAACTATCTGTAGAAAGATTCAGAGTGACTTTAAGTGTGTCAGAGGGCGCCTGGGTGGCTCAGTTGGTTAAGCCACTGCCTTCAGCTCAGGTCATGATCCTGGAGTCCTGGAATCGAGTCCCACATCGGGCTCCCTGCCCCACAGGGAGTCTGCTTCTCCCTCTGACCCTCCGCCCTCTCATGTGCTCTCTCTCTCTCATTCTCTCTCTCAAATAAATAAATAAAATCTTAAAAAAAATAAGTGTTTCAGAATTATCTACCATACCTGTTCCATTCTAAAATATATATTTTTAAAAATCTTAAATTGGCCAGCTATTTTTCCCCTTACTACCAAGAGATTCAGGACTGTTACCAAGATAAATATTTTTCTCCACACTTAGAATCTGAAAATGTATATATGTATATACACATAACAAAAGAAATATGTTTATTAATAAAGGATTTCCTCATATCACCAGAGATAAAGTGATTAACCTCAATGATAAAGTAGGACATCTTCTTTAGAAAGTAGCTGAGTTCAAAAAAAAAAAAAAGAAAAAGAGTAGCTGAGTTCCAAAGTTTACATATGAGTAGAAATATGTCAAACCTATTTTAAAATCATACATGGAGTTCATAGAGATTAAAAGGCATGAAGGGGGGAAAGAAGAGTAGGAATAGGGTCATTGTTATTAAATGCTAAATCTAGCTGCACAGATGTCACTTGTGGGCAAGTAAAAACTGTGGTGGCAGAGTCCCATCCAGCCCATAACTTCCTTTTCCTCTTACCCCTGGGTTCTTTCTCAGGCCCTGTGACTGCTCTGCAGAAGAAGAACCCACTTTGCTGGCTGCCACCTTGGGGAGTTGGAGGGGGTTGTTACATAAGCAGATTTCCTACTTACTAGTAAAATAGTAAAATAGTTGTTGGCTCGGGGTATAGTATCATAGGATTATTATTATAATGTAGGGGTATAATGAGCCATTATTCTCTAATAATAGTAATATTATTAACTGTATTAATGCTCATTGAGTGCTTACTGTGTACCAGGCCCTCTTTTATCTTCTACTAACTCACCTAATCTTCACCTAACAACCCTGTTATGAAGAGAGCTTGATTATACTCAGGCAGGAGGCTTGCCAGATGAAATATGAGACCCATTTACATGTGAATTTCAGAGAAACCCAAGGAAGTGTGGGACAAACTTAATACTAAAGAAAAATTACATTCATTTGTTTCTTTGAAATTCACATGTGACTTACTGTATTTTTATTACTAAACCTGACAACCCTAACAGGGAGGTTGATGACATGCCCAAGATTACCCAGCTGGAAGAGACAGAGCTGGGCTTCAAACTCAGCCTGGCTCCATAATCTTTGTTTTTATCCATTTCCATCTTGCCTCTCTAATAGAGACTGTGGACACCAATGAATGGTAAAGTAATTAGAGTGTGGTACTTGCCTATCCAGCCCTTGGGGAAAACAATGGAAAAGAACATTTGAATCCGGGACACCTGGGTGTCTGTCAGTTAAGTGTCTGCCTTCAGGTCTGGTCATGATCCCAGGGTCCTGGGATCGAGTCCCGCATCAGGCTCCCTGCTCAGGGGGGAGCCTGCTTCTCCCTCTGCCTGCTGCTCCCCCTTCTTGGGCTTGCTCTCTATTTCTATTTCTCACTCTCTCTCTGACAAATAAATAAATAAAATCTTTTTTAAAAAAGAACATTTGAATCTGTGAAACATAATATGATGCTCTTCTACTTCTTATATAAAGCACACTTACTTTTGAGAAAGGAACAGCTCCAAGACATCAGCATCCCTCTTGAAGCCACATATCTTTAGTTGATCTTCAACTGCCTGATAACATATAATTAATCTGTCAAGCCACATTCCATTGAGCAAAAATACGGAGACACTTGCAGTCAATAACAATAATGTCTACAAGAAGATCAAAAGAAAGGTGAATATGGAGGCAACCACTCTAAACTGATAAATTCCAACACTACAATTACATACTATTTAATCATTTTTGTGGTTGAATTTCATTATCCTTAATCCTGGGCACAGATGTGTAAATAATTTTTAATCAAAGAGAAAAAAATGTGTATGTGTCCATATGCACCAAAAACAAGTTTTCGATTCTCTATGAGGCAAAGTGATTTGGTCTTTAAATATTCTTAAATGTTCTTTCAAACATGAAGAATTCATATTTACAGAAGATATTTGGTATCATGATTGCAGGTGGAGTATAAGATACAATGCACATTATCATATAGGTGCTTGACACTGACTTCTCAATAAATGTCAGACGAATGCATCAGTGAATAAATGTCATTTCCCTTTCTTTGCAAAGGAACCATGTCTTCATTTTTCACCAGTTACTAACATACTTGCACCGTGGGAATTTTAGCTGGAGAGTAATTTTTATTCCCATAGGCTTTGTTTTGAAAATACAAATCCAACAATAGCAATTTAAGCGCTTTGCTTTTTCTTCTTAAGAGCCTTTGCTAGATTACAAAATAACATTTACAAGCCACATGGCCTAAGATGATATGGAAAAATTAAAGCCCATCTATAATTTGCCATGAAGGACTAAAGCTAACAAGACACAATAAAAGTGGAAAGTATAATTGTTGCACTACTGGAATCTGACAAACATTGTAATTATCAGAGTCAAAACACTGACCAAATTTCAGTTGGGATTTGTTGTGGGGGGTGAGGTTGTGATGTCAGCAAGTGATTGATGAAATTTTGACAAGAGTTTTGTTATTTAGTAGAAGACTTTTAATAAAAGTTAGATTTAATGGGATGAACACATATCAAAAGAAGTGAGGAAGATAGATTTATCAGGGATTAAGTGTCGCTGCTAATTTATATCCCAAACTTCCTTTGTTACCTTCTCACACAAGCTGAATCTTGGGGCTCAGAGAATTCACTGGCTCAGGTGGAGGCATTTCCATCAGGGTATTTTGTGACTCAATAAGGAATAAGATGGATTTAGGGCTTGGAAAAAGCCTATTGGAGGAGGCTTCCACATCTGGGTCTGGATGGTTTAACTTAAACATCTAAACTATCGGCTTCTACTATACACAGTCAGTCTCAGCTGTGTCAAAGTGTTTGGGATATCAAAGACCAGTCAAAGTAGAAATAAAACTTTGCAAATCACTATGAAAGTTATAAATGTGCTTTTAACCTGATCCTGTCATTCTACATCCAGCACTCCAAAATAGAGCAGGGCGTGCGTGTGCACGCATACACGATTTGGTTTTCACTGTTTATCTCAGCATACGTTATCTACATTTGTGAAATATACCTCACATTAATGGGAATATAGGTTAGATTAACATGTAACTTCACAATAGAATCCTGTGTAGTAGCTTAAAAATATACAGAGATAGATATCTACACATCCAAAAGTAATGCCATTGGCGGTATATGTCTAACACTATTTTTGTTACCAATGACACTTATTTTTTATTTATTTATGTATTTTAGAGGGAGAGAGAGAGAGCACAAATGGGAAGGGCAGACGGAGAGGGAGAGAGAAACTCAAGCAGACTCCGTGCTGACTGTGGAGCCCCATGTGGGGCTGGATCTCATGACCCTGAGATCATGACCTTAGCCTGTAGCTTAACCAACTGTGCCACCAATGACATTTATATGCATACAAAATGCACACACTCCAAATTGTTAATAAAATTATCACTTGAAATCATGTGGGATTTTCATGTTCTGAGCAATACATTTAAAAATAATTATTTGACAAAAATAAAAATAATATTTGAATATTTTAAAATAAGCACCTATTAGGTTAGTCTTCAGAAATTAATACAAATTTTGAAAATTTTAGCCATGGAAGGAATATTTAAGGATTTAAGTCAAACTTTGAAAATTCAGAGATGAGAAAGGAAATTGAAACTTTCAGCAGAATATGTAAATCCCTGGTATAATTATTTATTTACGCAGCTTTTTATCATGGTATGTTTCTTTCCAACCAAAAATTTCATATGAATCTAGTAACAAGTATTAATGTCAAAGTACCAAAGAACCCAAAAACGTGCCAAGAAGTTTCAAATTTCAGTGAATCCGTGGTGGAGCAGTTGCAGTTCCCAATCAACACACAACTTCACGAGCAGCATATTCCCTTCATCTAAATGAGCACAACAAGCATTCTTTCCCTGAACTATTTTTTTTATTGTGGTAAAATATATAGAATGCGGAATTTACTATTTTAACTGTACAGTTCTGTGGAACCATGGCCACTATCCATTTCCAGAAGTTTTTCATCTTCCCCAAATGAAACTATGCATTCAACACTCACTGCCCATTTTCCCCTTCCTCTTTCCCCCACCCCCCCACCCCTGGCAACCACCCTGCTATTTTCTCTCTCTGTGAATTTGACTACTCCAGGTGACCCATCTAAGTGGAATCAGACAGTATTTATCCTTGTGGGACTGGCTTATCTAGCTCAGCATAAGGTCTTCGGGGTTCATCCAAATTGTAGTGCGTGTCAGCCTTTCCTTCTTTTTTAAGGCTGAATCATGTTTTATTGTAGGTATACACTACATTTTGCTTTTCTGTTTATCTGTCTATGTACACCTGGGTCCCATGGATCTTTTGACGCAGCAAGGCCTCAACTTTGCAACAGCAACGTGTATGATGGGCTGAGGTGCCGAGAGAACTGCAGACTGGAAGCAAGGCTGCCTCTGGTCGATCAAGGCAAGGCTCCAGGAAAGTGGCAAGTGGGAAGGAGCAGTGAGCAGATGTGACAGAGGGTGTGCAGAGACAATTGATAGAAACTGGCAAATAATGGGGCAGAGAATAAGGGCGAGCAAAGTCACAAGTGGTGATGCTAATGTCATGATGTGATGATGAGAAGTGACTTGAAAGGGAAGATGAATTCAGCTGGAAATGCTGAAATTGTGGTCCTGGTGAGACACACGGGTCAAGGCGTCCACCAGAAAGCTGCTGGTGGAAGAGAGGAGCTCAGCAGAGGCATCAGGCTGGGAATGGACAGCCTGGCCAGTCAGGTTGGTGTACAGAAGGGAGTGGGACCCTGGTTCGATCGCTGGGAAGTGTACACATTTAGAGAGAGTAGGGAGTCAAGCTGCGAAAGCAGAAGGAAGGAGGTTTGGAGGGATGGTTACAAAGTTAGAAGGAGAAACAAGAGCACAGTGGGAGCTCAGAAAGCAAATTTTAAGAAGGTAGAATTTGAATCTGCAGTGTTGTGTAGGGGAGTAGAGGATATTACTCAGAAGAGGTATTGAATTCAGACAATTAGAGTTGTCTGATTGGGGGGGGTGCGGGGGGGGTCAGTCAGATTTCAAATTAACTCATTAACCAAACAGGGAACCAAACACAATCCAACATGGAAGTGGGGTGTGGATGATTCTGGCACAGGGAGAACAGAGGTTTCCTCCCTTGCCCGTTCCTGAGGATCTAGATAAAAAAACGTATTTGAAAATTGTGGGATTATATAAAAGCCCAGAAGAGTGAAGTCTGTATGAAAATCTATAGAAGAAAACATTCTCTTTGCTGACTCAGGTACGCAATGATAGATTCCTATAGCTGCATGCAACCCACACGCACCGCAGCTTCGTTAGAACTCAGTGTGAGTAGCTTTCAGATCCTTACGGAAGCCCCAGCCTTGAGTTACAGGGCAGCCCCAAGGCTCCCCAGACACTTCCTAGAACTCTTCAGCCCTTGGCTAGCTCCTGTGGCCAACAATTCTGACAGCTTTTCCCGCTCAAGCGTTCTTGAAGCCTCGATCTTAACTGCCCTCAACGCTGCTTGTACTGCTCATCAAAGAAACCTTCCTCCTCCATGTGTCCACTTGCACTTTAGGGGAACGGCATTTCGGGGTTATTCATATTTGTGGGAAAGTCAAGACTCCAAATTTAGGGCTTTATTATCTAATCTCTAAACGGCCATTGTTACATGTGCGGCAGGTGGTAAGCCAGAAAAGGTTCACGTTAAGTCCACCAGCGGGGATCAGAGGTATCCCCAAACCCTACCCTGGAGCTGACAGACTTCTCGCCCCAGTGGAGGGCCGGGGGTCTGCCATTGTCCCACCCCCTCCTGCCGACCCTAGGGGCAGCCTCGTGCTGGCTGGGGCTTTGGCGCAGGGACCCGGGGCGGGGGCGGGGGCTTGTGGCCTGGAGAAGGGGGTGCCGCTTACCCTGCGGCTGATCTCGAGGGCAACTTCCGGAGCCCTGACTAAGCTCGTAGAGTGCAGGGAGATGCGGGGCAGACGGTTCAGGTCCCAGGCCATCGGGGCACCAGGGAGGCGAGCAGCACCTACCATCCACCCAACCCAGCCCCGCAGCTCATTGTTCCGTTACCAACAGTTACCGCCATCTCGGCGACTTAAAAGCCAATCCAAACTAGGGAAGATCTGAAGCCAGTCCTTCTATGACGTTTTCACGTGTAGCCCTGCAGTGCCCACCGTGTCGTACCTAGGACACCGTCGCGTTTCTCCAGTGTGTGGTGAAGCTTGCTGTGGGTGCCAGAGGTCAGGTGATCAGCTACGCCAGAGCACCCCATTGTCAATCACCCACTAACAATCATTTCTTTGATCTGAGCTCTAAATATCAGAAAACTTAGCTTTCTGAAGATGAGATGTACCACTGGCCACATGTGGAGGGTGGGGGTGAAGGAATGCCCTGCAGAATCCTAGCGGAGCCTGAAGCAAAAAAGAAAAAAGAAATCAGGACTGCTCATCCTGCCTTTATTTAAAATTTTGACATTCTGCTCATCATGAATGCTGTTGTATTAATTTGTTTTGATTGCTGAGTTTGGATGCTTTACATTTTTGTACTAAGGCCAGTGTCTTACTTGGCTCATCCTAGCCCCAGTCCCAGGATGCAGGTGGAGGTGGCAGTATCAAGGAGCCCCAGATCCCAGGCGCAACTCTTGGCTGATCATATAGTGAAGGGTAAGTGCATTTTGGTTTAGTAGCTGAGAAGTCCTCCCTCTGGCAGAAAATGGGTAAGTTGAGCCACTATTTGGCAAGTTTTTTCCAATCTTCAAGTTGTTGTTGTTTAATTTAGAACCTCTTGTGTAGGCTATGTTATGATCTTATTTATGTGAGTTTTGTTCCCCTCTAGCTTGGGACACTTTGGAGGCAGGATTCTCTCCGTGTCATCACTATTTTCTGCCCGGGCCTAGTACACTGCATTCAGTAAATGTTTATTCAATTGAATGAGTTGGTTTCTTGGGTCCAAATTTGAACTTGCAATCTAGAATTAAATGTAGCTGTTAGAAATAGGTCAGGCTACTTGCATTAAAAAAAAAAAATGCTGGTGTTGGAATAGAGCGTTTAAAAATATCTCGGGGAAATCAAACACACACTTTTTTGGAATTCTGAAATGTGTTAGGGTCTAGTAGAGGTGGGTGGGTAGAAGTCTTCCAAGTAATTACAGAAGGAGGGATCATCTGAGAACGATTGTTGAAGTGGTTTTATATCCCAGAAATAAAAATCAGTTGAGAGGAATGATCCACTGAGAAAATGCATAAAATAATTTTCTGGTCTCTTGTCTCCCATTTTTGCTGTTAAATATGGGTTATAGAATTTCAAATATCATTCATGTATCTGCTACATGAAAAAATGGAAATACATACTTTTTGTTCAACTTCGTACATTACACAAATGTGAGTTTTAGAATCATCTGCAAAATACTTTTACAGAGCGTCTTACATAAGTAAACTACTAATCAATGTCTACTAAAATCACATTTAAAAATTTATCCTTTATTTTTTAAATCTTTTTCCTCTATTAAGAAGAGAAAAAGAGTTTTTAAAAAAAGCCCTATTTTTAGTAAAGGAACTCAGAAACTCATTTATTATAAGGTCTCAATGTATTCTCTCTTTGAAAAAAACTCACAATTTATTTTATTATTTTTTTAAGATTTTATTTATTTATTTGACAGAGAGAGACACAAAGAGAGAGGGAACACAAGCAGGGCGGGAGTGGGAGAGGGAGAAGCAGACTCCCCACTGGGCAGGGAGCCCGATGTGGGGCTTGATCCTGGGACTCCAGGATCATGACCTGAGCTGAAGGCGACGCTTAACGACTGAGCCACCAAAGCGCCCCAAAATTCACAATTTAATTGATCACAAGGACTAAAGTAATGCAAATTTAATTACAGAATGTCAAAGATGGAGGTTAGCGAAGCACTTTTTTGGTAAAAAGGAACTTCCTAGAAATCCTCACACTGGTGGCACAAAATTTTTACAAAAGAAGTATCCCTAGCAGAGTGAGCAGAGAGATTTTTTTTTTACCTCGTGTGAGATGGGATTAGAGCCTGAGGAATTCAGCTTGAAATTTTAAAAATCCATGTAAAATGTACATTCTGCTTTACAATCAATCTTGTTTTAATATAAAAATAAAGTTGCTCCTCTACCTCCCCTCAAATCTTTGAGTGATATTTACACTGAAGCAAGACACCCTGTGTTTATCTTGTGGCTTTACCTCCCTGGCATATTGCCATTGCCTGCAGGGGTGTGCATACCCCAGTTTGAAAGCTCTATCATATCATGTATGTGGCTTTGGATAAGAAGAAAGAGCCTGTGCTCCAAGTCAGGGCATGTGGGGTTTGGTCTCAGCTCTGACATTAACTAGTTGTTGGCCATTTTCAAATCACTTAATGTCTCTGGGCTTCAGTGTCTTCAATAGTAAAATGAACAAGTTGGAAGTTTAGCTCAAAAATCTACTATTTAACACTCCTCTAGACAAATAGTATGTACTGTTCACAGAGTAAAAGTTCATGTTGAGATGTTGACATGCGATTGTTTTTTAAGAAGAATTTTCCAGTGGAAAATGTGTGAGAAAAAAAATTATGGGTGTGATGGTTATCATGAAAGCTAAATAATTTTTAAAAAATATTCTTAATTTTGCCTTGAGTAATTCCAATAATCAGCCTGGATGCTATTTTTCCAAGTGAGTGAAAAATATTTATTGTATGAAATAATCATTATCAGCCATTTTCTACTGTGGAGAATCTGCATTGCATGAGCAACACATCAGCCACAATCAAAACATATTCTTATATGTATAAAAATATATCTTTTTTATGATATTTGATAAGCACAGTGTCAACATTTTCATTGTTATAAGTTTAGGTAAAATATCATTTTAGTTGACAGTTACAATTTTTTTTGCTTACACAAAATGAGAATGAAATGGAATATTGAGAATTCCTGGAATTCTCTATGAGTCTTTCAGGTTACTCTAAGTCTTATAGGAAGAGACACTGACTGCCTTTGTTCAGCACTATATTTTAAATTTTTATAATGAACACCCTTGGAAGATATAGTGTCTACCTCCTGAACAAATAGTCGGTGTGCTTTTGTTTTTTGTTTTTTTACTAAGCAGCATAATAAAGGCAATGTCTTCTTCCCTTATAATAAAGATAAAATCAGGCAGGGTTTTACTGCCCAGTATGAAAGATTAAGATTTCTAAGTTTCGTGTTCCTCTCCTCTAACACCACCCACGTATGTGACCACATCACCTGGCCTGCTTCTCATTGCCCTTTGGAATTTGTGGCTGGAGGAATTGGTGCAAATACTGATACTCGGGCTGTGCTGTTACTGTGAGTAGTAAACTGTCCTTAGTCTCTGACCCAGAAGTCTCCTATCATCTGCCAGCATGTATGAAACTGGCTTGCTAACTTGCTTCTGCCTGTGTAGGTTTTTGTTGTTGTTGTAGTTGTTGTTTAATGGAATACATCCTTCTAATTTGTTCTTCAGCTTTCATGTTTCTCTTTACCATCTCATGAACTTCCATCTTTCAACCCAAACTACTGAGTTGAATTGTTGCATAATGTTCCCTTGTAATGTTTCTTACAGTTTATTTATGCATTACTCTATTGATGGACATTTATGTTGTCCATTTTTCTTTTCTTTTTGCTATGATAATCAATGCTGTAAGAAGCGTCTTTGTGATCCTGGGTATTACATCAGGTGAAATTCTTTGATGGTATTAATGAGGTATATATGTGTGTCTCTTTCTCTATAGGATGATATTTTGTTGAATTTTGCCAATCTAATTGGAGAAAAATTTTATCTCGATGTTTTAATTTGTACTTATTTAGTGAAGTTGAGTGTCATTCAAATGCTTATTGGTCCTTTGTATTTTTTTCTGTGAGCTGTCATTTCATGTTAATTGCTTAACTTTGAACATGCAGATCAAAATGACTGAAGCCCTACAAGCTAGGTCTATAGAATTTCCCAGTTATTCCTTGAAGTCACCCAATGACTCAAGTCATCTTTTAGCATCCTGCACAACTGTCTTCCCTTGTTTTCTCTCCCTGGCTAATGCCTGCTGCACTTCAGACTGCTGAGATAAACTTTATTTCTCTGTCCCCAAAGTACTCTTTCACTGATCTCTGGGGTCCATGCCCAGGATGCTATCACCTGATGTTGATAGTGTTGTCATTGTTTAAATTATTGGAAGGATGGTGGGTTCTAAGCTAATAGGGAAGCATCAATCTTTCCCCAACCCCATGACATGTTTTACCATCATAGTTCTAAAGGAAATTTGCCCATATATATTAGTTCTTGAACTCTCGCAGAAAGATAGTCATTTCCAGTTCTTCCTTACATACCTTATTTCCTATCAAAATTCACACACAATCCTCCAAATAGCTACCTGAATAGGAACAGGAAGTGGTTCAAGTTTGGAAACATTTCTATACTCTCTGGAAAAGCTAAAAACCTCTAGACAGAACTATAGCTTCACCAAATAGTATAATTTTCAATTCCAAACCTGTGCTGGTTTCTGGGTGATTTCACATTTTCTCCCAAGATCAATGGGTCCCATGTCTAAGCTCTATCCATGACCTCACATAGCCACCCTTAGACTATTCCTTGTGCCTAGAGGAGCACATGCCTATCAGGGTTCTAGATATAGAGTGTGAAAAGATGAGGGGGCAAGAACTCCAGGTGGGTTCATCCAGTTGCCCCTCGGGGTGGGCAGGATTGGGGATGGTGAGTTCAGAGGAAGACCTGAGCAGGGCTTTTAAATCATGGGGCCTAGGACAGAAGACCTCTTGCCTGAAATTAGAAATGGCAACTGGGTGGAAATGCCATACAATTCTTTAAAATCAATTTCCATTAGGAGTTCATTTGTGTGGTATCATTAAAATTACTAACCCTTCCTTCACTGGGTTCAATTTTGACTTCTTGAGCTATTGATAGAAATTTATTCTAAACTGGCAGAGAAGTCTTGATAATACTAGCAGGAGGGCTATGTTTTGTCATACACATGATGT